GTTTTTCTGCTCTATTTACATTGCAGTGTCCATATAAACTGTAAAACTCCCTGCATAATTATAATAAAGCAATTTGTATGCATGAAACAAGTTAAGCTATATGGCAATTGCCATACTGCTACACTTGTGAAAGTAAAATCTGTTGGGCTCTTTTTGGCATCAAGACAATTATTCTTATTGCCATATTGCCAGACAGGACACTGTAAAAAAAAAGAAAAAAAAAAGTCACATTTTCAGGGGGAGTTGTTAAGTTAATTATCATTGATGATGTGTGAGTGTATTACACCTAAATATTAGCTTCTGCTCTGTGTTAAAACTGATGTTTTCCACAATAGTTTATCTAATTAAGACAGTTTGGTGTTCTTTGCTCTGCTTGCTCTCTTCCACAGGTGGTTTGTTGCTGACAGGTGGGCATGAAATGGCACCTACGGCTAGTTGGGCTCCTCTGCTGAGCTTGAGAGGAACGTTCAGTCAGCTGGAGGACGGCAGAGTGTTAAACCGTTGTGGTACAACAAGGCCTCTGTCGGACTGACAGATCTTTAGATAACTTGATGTTTTGGATTCCTGATTCTAACGTGTTTCCTGTGTTGTGATTTTATGTTCAATTCTATTCCCAGCCAGCTGGGAGTTTATATTTCTGATACTTTAAGATGTTTATTGCCCTCCACGGTTGGGATGGTAAAATATCTTATTTATTCACATATTATTTTGGCTGTTATATACTGTTTTTGACACACAGCCCTACTAACTGTGTGTTAGAACAATAGATGAAAGAGTGATACGTGACAAAAACCATTCAGCTCCAAGTCAAACATATTCCAGTTTAACACTCTCAAGTAAGACTAGTAAAACTAAACTAAACTAAACTAAACTAAACTAAACTAAACTAAACTAAACTAAACTAAACTAAACTAAACTAAACTAAACTACTATGTACAAAGAGGAAGGGAAGCATGGTTGAAAACTATATTACAGTTTAGGATGGATCGTGTGTTAGGAACCAAAGTTTCTCTGGAAAAATTCGGGATATGATCAAATTAGCTTTTCACAAATTTTAAAGAAATTGCAATGTTTTCAGACCAATTCACAATGCAAACCGATGAGGTGAATAAAACATTATTTGGCCAAATAATGTTTTATTGAATGATTTGCTTAATCAGGAACGAATAACCTTTAGTTAAATGATTATTTACCCTCTTTGAAATAGCTAGCAGCGAATAGACATCAGGATTCCACTAAATGACTCTTGGTCATACTTGGTAATCGAAATGTAATGACCATCTGAGAAACACATGAACACTAATGTTATATCAGTGTTTAACCTTTAGTGAACAAGCTTAAGGAACAGCTCAAAACATATTCCTGTAGCATATCGTAGCATGCAGTCTATTCTGCTTGACTTTACTCATCAGTAAACACTTGTTGTTTGTTCTGTCCCTAATGATGCCAGACCTGCAAACCTTTTTGTCCATGTCCATTGGAGGACTTGAGTTTCATCCAGTTGCAGCTCAGCAGTCAGGGCAGCAACAACCAGGGGTTTCTTTGTCTCAGTCTCACATAGCAGGGGTCCTCTTTGTCTCAGTCGTTCATCAAGACAGGGTAGGCCTTCTCTCCAGTCTGGCTCTATAAGTTCTGAAACTCAAGAGAAATGTGTTGCAAAAGGTCTGTTTTGCAGCAGTCTGGCTCTGAAAGTTTCCAAGGAAAAATACTCCAGACACTGCATATATTGTGGAGGGTTACTTTTTCAATGTTACCTCATGTTTAATCGGTCACCCTACATTAAAGCCTTGCAGCTAGCCAAGATTTTGTTTATTTTACGGTTATTAACAGAAGGAGCTCTCAGATGGGCTGCAGCTCGCTTCCCAGACTGCCAATCTTTCGGCTGCACCTTTGAGGCTTTCTTAAATGACTTTAAGACAGTGTTTTCGGCCGAAACGGATCCAGTGCAGCAGTCTCGCCAATTGTTGCTGTTAAAACAAAGCAGATGCTGCACTGCGAATTTTGCAGTAGAGTTGCACACTTTAGCCGCCAGTTGGAAGGCTCGGCTGTTAAAGACTGTGTTTTTCCAGGCACTTGATGAAGCGTTAAATGACGAACTGGCTTGAGCTTAACTGGGTGGAGTCACGTTCCTGGTCAACAACTTGTCACCAATCAGCGCAACCCAATTGTCACCCACCCAACTCCTCTCCTGAGGGAGAGAAATTGTTGGATCCCAGTTTGGTCCCCAAGATCTATCATGACCTGTGCCAGGTTTTCAATAAAAGCAAGGCCTGTTTGTTGCCACCGCACCACCCTATGACTGCGCCATTAATCTTTTACCGGGTGCTCCTCTACCCACCAGTCGACTGTACAACATCTCGAGGTCGGAACGTCATACATTGGAGAGTCCCTCAGTGCAGGGTTGATTCTTCTACGTCCTCTTCGTTGGCCTCTGGGTTATTTTTTTAGGGTAAGAATGATGGATCCCTCAGTCCATGTATCAACTACCGAAGGCTAAACCAAATTACCATAAAGAACAAGTATCCTCTCCCACTGCTGTCTTCTGCTTTAGAACGTGTCAAACATGTAGTCATTTTCACTAAACTTGACCTGCGTATCCCGTGAATGATGTCCTACGGGACTTCCTTAATGTCTCTGTCTTTGTCTATCTAGACGATATTCTGATTTACTCCCGAGACCCTGTCCAACACCAATATCATGTCCGTCAGGTTTTGTAATGCTTGCTCTAAAATCGTTTTTTTTTTGTTAAGGCTGACTAATGTGAGTTTCATAAGTCCTCAGTCCCCTTCCTCGGACTCATTCTTGAAGGTGGACAAGTTAGATCTGACCTGAACAAGGTCAAAGCTCTAGCTAAGGGGCCTAACTCCTCTCCACTCCTTTTGTTTGTGTTACGGGTCTCAAGCACGATGACCACAGTAACAAAGAGAATCTGTAAAATAAAGGTTGAGTCTTAGAGCAATGAACACAGGAACACTCAAGTCTTCATCCAGGTTAGATATATTAGGTCAATTCAACACACAAAATTTACTATCAGTACATTTGTTTTTGAATAACAAATAAAGTCTAGATAAAGTCAATTTACAGGGATCTCCACCTGCAATTACAGTATTTGTTATTACTGCTTAGTACAGTTTCAGTTGACTGACTAACTACACAAGGCCTGCAAACATAATTTCAGTCTCCAATGAACATAGTGCAAAATTTGGGATTTGCCATTTACAATCTTAAATTCAATAAACTTATTCAGGTATAAACACTGTTCTTTAGAATATATGCAAATCACCTTTAAATCACAGCACCAGAGCATATATGTGATAAAGCATTTATAATTTTAAGCTCACTAAGCTCAATTAGATGTGGACAATGTACTTTAGAAAATATGCTAATCACTTTAACATGACAACTTCTAACCATATTTCCATGCAATAAACCAACATTCATACAACATGGTAATCACTTTCAAACCTGAACAAATATTCTGGATTCTTTAAACAAATTTGAGTTTCATCAAGAGCCTTCTGAAATAATTTGGAGCGATCTGTAGATTGTAAAAAAAACCTTAAACTATCTGATTTTACTATCAAAGAGAATACATCTCAAACGAACGGGCGAACTCTCGCGAGAACAATGCGGAGTCTCGCGAGACTTCCAGTGCAATGCGGCTCGGCTTTGCCGCCGCCCAACGACGGTGGACAAACAAACACCCACAAAACTAATTCAAAGTTGCGCTCATCGTCATAAAATTATTACCTCTCACTTACAGAAAGAATACGAAGCTTAAAGCTCTCATGTATGGCAGTTTTAACAATGTACTGACCTGTAAAATAAAGGTTGAGTCTTAGAGCAATGAACACAGGAACACTCAAGTCTTCATCCAGGGCCGTTTCTCAATTCACGAGAATGCGAGTACGTACTCGTCAAGTCCGTTCTTGGCGAGAACGCAGAAAAATCGGACTTGACGAGAATGCGAGCACGCAAGCACGTATGTGTATTGGAACAGAAGCGTACTTGTGACGTCATCACATGCAATGTTCTTTAGCATTTCTTTAACAGTCAAAACTATTTATTCCCTACACAAAACATTTTGAAAACAATATTTTTAATTTCTAAAGCTTAAAAAACATTAAAAAAATTACCGAACCGCCATCAGAACAAGCGGTAGTTCACACATATCTAGACCGAGAGAAGTGCACTACAGACGGGGTAAATTTAGCCCTGGCTGCGGTTACCCTCGGAGGTCTGCTGGTCACTCTGGTCCGCTCAACGTCGGACTTTTTTTTTTTTTTTCGCACTAACTCTGTAAACAGGCCACACAGGGAGGCTTAAATGTATAATGTTGTCGCCTCAAACGATTTCAAAACGTACTTTTGAAAAACAACAGCAGCAGAAAAGGGAATGTTT